AGAGAGAGAGAGAGAGAGAGAGAGAGAGAGAGAGAGAGAGAGAGAGAACGATTGGCACCTCGGAAACTACCTCGTTAGAACGGAAAGCAGCCGGGGAACTTCAATTCCACTTCGTTCTTCCTTCTCGCTGTATGTGCGCTCATAAAAGCGTTACGAAAATATGCGTACGATAATATACAACGGGTGCGCACCAGCAATGCCGTCGTGAATGCACGCGCCGTAACAGGATTCTTAAGGGTGCGCGGCGCGTACGCGTCTTCAGTTAGCAGTAACATTACATTATGCAGTACGCAAATGGAATTATTAATTAAAATTGTTCACTTCAAATTATTCGCGAAATAGAATTTACTTATGCCTTGGAACTTTATCCCTCTTCCTCAAACTTTGGCGATATTGGTAAAGTACACTACGGTCAGTATTTAAAAAAAATCAGAGATGAATCATCGAAGCTGAATCATCACTGGTATTTGTTCCAGTTAGAGCTCCGACATCTCGCCGAGGGAGAACGAAACGATTCTAGGATACTTTGTGTAGGACAGCGTTACTGGAATCGTGACGTGGATCCATGATCCGCTGGCTGGCGTATACCTTTTCGAAACCGCGCCGAACGATAATTTACGATAGGTATGCGCGTAATTATTATCGCGCGTACATGCATATACGCCGCGGCGGTGCATACAGAGGAGTGGATGCACCGTGTCGGGGCCCAGGAATTTAGTTGGCGGTTGTATGGGACGGCGCAATGCATACATACGCACCAACACACATACCACAGGCGCACGTGCAAGTATTAGGCGAATGCCGCGTACGTATACTCACATGCATTCGTTGGGTCGATTGCAGTGTCCGTGCTGCTCGTCGCATCCGGGCAGGCAGCGGGCTGAAATGAGTAAGAAAAAATCCAAGAGGTTAAGGCAACTCTCGGCGAGAGGTCGATCGCGTCCCTCACGACTGCACGAGCGAGCGGTGAATACGGTGTACGATACATCGGACGGCATGCATATATACACGCGTACGGTAGTTCGTCCTTCTTTACATTTCGGGACACAAAATACTTCTGTGCTGTAATTGTTTGCAGCATGTGATGCCGTAATTAGCAGTGATTAAGCTCAACGAGAACCGAGTGGTCCAACTGACCGCCCCCCCTCTCTCTCTCTCCCCCCCATTGAAGATTGCGTTTTGTTTTTATTTTTCTACTTCTAGCTTTATTTCTACGTTTTCAACTTTACCCTTTTTTATCTAAAAATGCTACATAGTGCGGTGATAATTAAAATTGAAAACGTTAATACAGAAAACGGGAGGATTAACAGGTGGTGGTTGCGGTGCCTCGCGCGAAAGACGCATATCCCATTTCCTTATCGAGCGAGTAAACCATAAACGGATGACTCGGTGAAATTTGGGGGAACGCGTAACGGCACCCCGGATGCGGGCCCGTTTAAAGACGAGGAGAGCGACACGCATCACGCGCGGTAGCGTTTGCTTTTCATACAGTATCGTGCCTCGTAACTAGTCGACCAATTTCCTGCCGCATACGTAAACTCGATGGCTAGAAGCCAACTACTGAGAGCGCGAATTTCCCCCTTCCTCGCGTGCATTCGCGAACTAGACGTCGCATCGAACGATGCGTGACACAATTTCATTACCCTTACGATCCACCGCTGGCGATCCGTACCGCGTGCAAGTATGCGAGGAATCGACGGTCGTCCGTTTGGATTCCTTCTTCGTCACCTTGTTAATTCTCCCAGGGAGACGACAGCGCGATAACCGATCACGATTTGGCGCATCAACGCGAGCAAAAAGGATCGCGAAACGTTAAATTCAAAATGCGTGTCTGGATACTAATGTATTGTGCAAGTTATTGGAATAACATCATCAATCACGCTACCGTTACTATCGCGTAGGATTAATTGAACTTTGCCAGTCTGATGAAACGTTCGATAAAAATAACGATTTTGCCAACGGTGTCGACAAGCGTCGGGACTGGGAACCGGGTTGGAAACCGAGAGAAAAAATCCCAGTGCGCTCGACGCTGGTGAATGAAAGGGTTGAGGGCGGCAGTTGGATGATTCCGACACGGTTCGGCGCGAGGCAGGGCCAGCGCGAGCAGGGCCAGCAGCAGCACGAGGGCCATGTGACCTTGGCACCGAGCGCAACGGCCCGGCTCTCTTACTCGCCATGGCCGGTCGGATGGACGGACTTCGGCGCGGCGCAGCGCGGCACGGCACGGCACGGCGCGGCGCGGCGCAGCGCGGTATGGCATGGCATGGCACAGGCCGAGCGCTAAGGAGTATGGTATTTATAGAGCGGAGAACGAGAGATACGACCCCCCTCGGCCCCGCCGTCGCAGCCGCCGCGATCTCTCCTCCTCGTGCCCTCTTCGGCCGTCGGTGTATCGTCGACGAACGACCGAATCGCAGAGATTCCACCGCGACCCTCCCCCCCCCTGCCTCCACATTTCCTTCTCCCCTTCGGTCTCTTCCCCTCGAGTGTACCACCTTTTCGCCGTACTGTTGCCGAAGAAGAAGAAAAGGGAAGAAAGGTCCTTTTCTCCCTGGCGAGGAAGGAGGTGCGACGGACCAGTGACTAAACAAATCTCGTAAGCCGCGACAAATCTTGCCCTCCGAGCATTATTTACGACCGATTTGTGGCCGCTGCGATTTTTCGAGATAAAACCTTGCGAGGTAGGCTATAAATTCGCCGTGTGTTCTCCTCCCGCGGAACGCTCTTCTTCCAAGCCGACCAAAGTGTTCCGAGAAGCCGAGAAGAAGACGTCCAAGACCCTCCTGCATTTTATTCGACACGATATTTCAACGATTGCGTTTTTTAAGTTAAGCATCGCACAGAGCGTCTAGTAGAATAATGGTACAAGTTCTCGAATATCGAGACATAATCAGCATCTGATGAAACGACCAGCAATTGCATTATATTTGTGTACGATACAAGAAACTATAAACAATATCCTCGCTGCGGAATAAAACAACGATTGAAACGGACAGCTTATTAAGTCACGCTGGTAATGATGAAATGAAATAATTATTATTTGTTTCTATTTTAATGCTTGTAAATTTTACTGCCAATTGAAATTATTAATTAAAGTCAATATTAACTTGTTTTCATTTTCATATCATCAAGCTGACCTAATTAGTTAATTAGCATCCATTAGTTATTACTTCATTACATATTTTAAATGTTAATTAAAATTTTGAAATTTGCGGACGCTAATAAAAGTTCCGTCTACTTCAATTTGAAAAATATTGAAGTACTCAAACGTAAGAACGAAACTTGGTTTAAATGAGACAAACAATTAATGAAAAACCACCCATGTATGCGAAAACTGTTTGAAAAAATTGTTTGTAAAAGATGATGTCGAATAGATAGAGCAGGTAACGTAATGAACTCATGAGTGTTCTGAATGAATCTACCGGCTTTTGCATAGCGGTTCTTTTTAAACGCCTGATCTCTGAGCGGAGGGCAAGAAAAGGAGAGAGAGAATGAAAGACATGAAAGACATGTAGTCGGTGTTACACACCCTGAGGTCCCCTGGTTCCGCAACGTACTTATTGATTTTTCACGACCACAGATTTCCCTTCAAAACGGTCATCAGTACCGACCCCCCTTGGCGGCGAGACAAGGTACCGTCCAACTTTTTCCCTCAAAACCTTTCTTTCTTCCTTCCCGCGAGAATAATCGTCACCATTTTGCCTATACCTGCCGTATTGTGACATACTACCCGTTAAATGTAGCCCATGCCATTAGTTACAAGTTAGAAGTCAGTTAGAAGACGAACACCGGCACAACTTTTCTATAGAATATAAACAGGGTTCAAGTATTCTCAAAAGTTTCGTTGACTTGTGAAGTCATTCATAAGAGGATTAGTCTTTTCACGACCGGAAATTATACCCATTGTGATCAGGTTTTAGGCAAAAACTGATAGAAAATTCCGGCCGCGCATATCCTTAAAGGTAGCCATTATTACTGCCTGCTTTATTTAACGATGATCTTGTTGAAGCTCTAGGCCTCGAGCTGGCCTACACCTAAGCCGCCTATACCACAATTGATCCGATCCGATCCGATCAGGTAGGCCGAAAGATAAAGGGGGACACCGAAGGTACATTCGGAAAAGCGCCGCGCTGCTCGCAGAGGGTAACAAAAACTACGGGGACAAGAAAGAACGGATGGAAAGAGAGGGGAATAGAGGAGCCGGAATGTACGTGGACTGCGAGCGCGAGTCCGGGGCAGCTGTTAGTTAAAGCACCGTCCTCTCGGTGCAGCTGTCAGGGCCCAACTCGCTCAGGCCGACTCGTTCGCGCGTTGCAGCTGCTCTCTCTCTCTCTCTTTCTGCGCGCGCGCGCCAGCAACCCCTATATAACGCTTTCGTATCGGCACCCCCGAAAGAGTCCGACTGCTTGCTGCGTACCCGATCGCCTATTCTCAACCTACCCCTCTCGCCACGGGGTTAACGAGATAGAGAGTTAACCCTTCGTCGTATGCGATCGAAGCCGTTGCGGAGAAAGTGCATACTCGGCAAAATGCTCGATGACAAGTACCTTCTGGGTTAGACGAGGGAACAACCTTAGACGAATCGATGGAGAAAAGTGGATGATAAAGCGATTCTGAGCAAGCAGAAAAATATGTTGACGCACTCACGAGATTATTCGTATTCGAAAGGTGACAATTTTTACATAAACGTACTCTGGAAGATTAACACGAATATATGCAAAATAGATACATATATAAATGAAGAGGTGATCTGTAAGATTCGGGAGGATACGACGCGGAAGTAGCGAAACCGAACTCGAGATACCATCGTTTTAACAGATTCCGAAGAAGTGAAAGTCCTTTTGTGTTCTCGCGAGACTCGTTCCGAAGGAGAGTCTGCCGTTCGTGATTTATATCGTCGTATTTCCTGACGTTTTGCGGCCGACTGCTCGTCGAGCGAGAGCGCGACAGTGATTTTGCCGCTATCTCGTTAAGCTGCATAATCGTATGTAATATTGCGGTAGCGGACAAAGATTTTTTTTTTACGTCTCATTACTCCGATAAATGTGTTTCGAAATCAATTTTTTTTATCTCGCCTTTTTTATAAATTAAAAGTCACACACGAAGTCAACGAAGATTTTTGGGTGGGCGCTACAAATTCTTTTAAATCCGACTTTTTCCCAACATCAGAGAATACAAGTTCTTTTCCGAACAACTGGTTCGTCGACAGCAAGGAATATCCACGAAATGAAAATTAGTGCATTAGTAATCGGCGCGCGAACTTTGTCGATCGCGGTGGCCCCGAGCAGTCGGTGTCGAGTGCAACGACCGGGACCGACGGGGCCCCACACACGGGGAGACTTCGCCTACGATCGATCTTTCACTTCGATCGGATTCGAGAAAGTACGGAATTCGGCAACTGAGAATTGGCATAAGCGAGGAAAGCTCGTGGGAAAGTGGAAACCTCGAAGAACGTGATCCGAGCGTGGACGTAATACACCGCTTCATATATTGATCTTGTAAGATACGGTATTAATCTTTATTGGAACAGATATTCTTATCTGTATAAGTGAAAAGTACGGAACACACTTATGATAATCATGTTATCTATTACGTGAAACACAAAAATACAAGTTTTCGATTACTTTCAAGCGATCTGGAATCAGCTAATATTTAATGCCATAATTCAAGTAACACAAACTTGAGTTCCAGCGTTAAAACAGGCAGAAAGATACATTGCTTCTTTCCAAAATGTTTTCTAGCATTCCTCGCGAAACTTGACGACATTCGACGACATTCGACGACACTTGGCGTGGTCTGGGAGTAACGACTAGCTTTTGTCCTCGTGAACATTTCGACACAATCTGAAAACGAGTCCCCGATTCTTTGAATGAGGATCGAAGCTAGACAAGAGTCCCTTCCTCTTGTGAATAAAACCACCTTTGTACGTACAGGTCAGACGCAGTCGGACACCAGGTGCGAGTACGAACCTGTACGCATCAGAGGCCAGGAGCTTCGACATCGACGACTGTAACTCCGGTAACAGACACGACCGTTCCATTCGACTCGCGCCGAGTCTCGACCGAGTCTCGACGGAAGAAGAGAATGAAAGAGAGAAGAATGAAAGAAAGAAAGGTAGATCGAAAGAGAAAGAGGGAGAGAGAGAGAGAGAGCCACACACGAAGGCAGATTTCGCCCCCTTGCCTCCTTCGCTCACACAATCTCGGATCATTACACGTGCACACGGATTAGGTCGCGGTCGGCTCGCAGGTACGCGAGAGTGAAAAAGAGAGGGATGCTGCAGCCAGGCCGTGGGACGGAGAAGAGTAAAGAAAGAGAGCTCGGACGGCGGAGGGAGCAAGAGGGAGAAAAAGAGAAGGAGATACTCGACACGCGCGAGCCAAGCGTGGGAAGCTGCTGCACGCTTCCAAGTCTCGGCTGCGCCGCGCTGCAACACACCACCACCGACTCTACACCGGGCCTCTCCTTCGCGCGGAGACGCCGGGCTTCGAAAGAACGCGGAGCGAGAGAGAACGCGAGGAACGGTTCGTTCGGCGAGCCGCGCCGAGCGATTCGCGAGAGTATCGTCGTTTACCGAGGTAGCGTGCATATTCGACATCGGTAGGGATCGCGGAGGCAGCAGCGTTGCCTGTTAATAACCGCGCGCGCGCGCCCCGCAAAATCCTTGGAAGAAACGGGATTGCGTTGGGAGAAGGAGCGAAACGAGCAGTCGCAATCTTTGACAATTATCTGGCACTTGTATACTCGCGTCATGATTCATTCAGCAGTTATCAGTTGCTACTTGATCAGTTTTTTTTCTTAACCTACATGTCTGTCGTTGCTATCAAACTGAGAGGAGCCACATGTCGATATATGATACGCGCGTGCAGTCGTGATGGAGAACGCGGAAATAAATAGCGGCCAGTGTGTCGCGCTACCGCTTAAAATACGGTGCGGTCATGAATGCCAGAATGATGAACATGGTGTACTTACGGGTGTTGCAATAGTCGCCTTTCCAGCCGGTGAGGCAGACGCGCTCGCCGCTCGGACTGCAGCTATAGTGGCCGAAGTTGTCGTCCCTCGGCCGGCACAGGTCCTCGCAACCTTTGCCGTAATAGTGCGGCGTGCAAGTCACCCTGTACTCGTACTTCATTTGCGAATGGGCACTCTTGTACTCGTCCACGGTCCATTCCGGCCCCACGTCCAGCCACTTCTGTGTGGTCAGCCGCGTGATCAGTACTTTCTCTGAAAAACCATAAGACCGCGTTCCGTTTGAGTGATCTCGATGTCGAGCTATTCGGACTTTCTTACGGTAATCTTAAACTACAAAGGAATTGGCACTACACATGTATACATTTTCTTTTATATTAATTTAGAAACATCGCATCGCCGTGATTATCATAGATCTATCGGATACGCCGATAAAAAAAAGAAGAGGTAATCGCCAAATTAACGATGTGTTCGCACCAGACAACAATAAAACGCGATGTGAAAGTAATTAGCCGACGCGATCAGCATTGGGGCAGAGCGACGAGGTGCACCGCTACACCCAATGATGCGATCGAAGTGCATCGGCCTCCGAGAGAAAGAGACCGAGAAGTAAAGAGAGAAAGAGAGCGAGAGAGAGGGCAGACCGGACGTTCGTCCGCTATTGCTACTCTGTCGGCGGCACGCATCCGGCACAAAGAGAGTAAGCGAGTATACCACGTTGCGGCTCTGGGAAAGAGGCGTCCTTCCTTCCTCTCTCTTCCTTTCCTTCTCTCTTATCCTCTCACTCCATTCTCGTCTTCGCCTCTGGCTCGTCCTCTCGTCCAGTGTCTCTACCAGCTTTCGTGTAAACGAACGGATGAGCGAACGAACGAGCGGAGGCTACAACCTTCCTTACACCAGGGCGCATTATCGTAATAGCCCCGACAGATTAGGATCCAGGGCCTACGATCAAGTGCCCTACCGAAAAACCTGCATCTCACGGCACCGGTTTTCGGTGCACGCGCGCGTCCGTGCGCGCCTTCGCACAGCCGAACCGGTAGCGTACCGGGGCCCACCGATTCCACTGCGATCTATCCCGTGTAGCGAGATCAATAGCGTGGCCATAAAGAGGCATGATTCCATCTCGGCGTTTCCAAGAGACTTTTCCCAAAATTGTCACTGATGAATGAAGACGAGTATCTTGAACAATGACGGTTCGAAAGCTCGCAGGTTGGTCGTAATCTCTGTATTTCCGTTATCATAAATTACGATCATTGTTTTCAAAATTATTGGTAAATTTAAACGTATTGAGGAACGCAATTTATATACATTACTAACGTTACTTTGATACAAGTTTTTTTTTCACAAACTTCCTTTGTTCGTCAAATAACTTATACGTTTATTAATAATTTCTGGTATTAATTGTGGAATTAAAGTATCCTCGCTTATATCAATGTAATTCTCACATTGCGGACTGAGAAAATTCTGCAACTCAAAGAGGCTCAATTGACATTACCATCGCCTGATAACGCGATTCGCTGAGAGGAATCCTTCGATCACACGCCATTGTGTGCACTCTTTCTCTCTCCGTTCACCGCGCGCGTCGAGGAGAAAGAACGGAGAAGCGAATGAGCGAGGAAAAGAAAGAGCGAGGAGGGAACAAAAGGACGAAGGTTTTCGCCGATGGCGTGCCCGAGGATACTTAAGGAGGGAGTCAGATCAGCCTCTCTTCCCAGAAGGGAAGTGGCTGTCGGCGAAACGGGAGTCGAGAATGAAAGAAAGAGAAAGAAGGAGGCAGGGGGAGAAGAACGAGATGTATATATACAAGAGGGAGAGGCAGTTTACTGGGCTATCTTCCCAGGTGATGCTGTTACGAGTTCCGAAAACGCCGATCTTCGCACGCTACATCGTTTCATGTTCGATCCCGAGAGAGCTCCGCTACTTGAAACGCGCGGAGCAAAGCACAATCGAGAACGAATCGGTTTATGAAGCTTTGCTAAGACGTACACATTTCTAATACATCGATATCGTAATAAATCGTGGCACTACCAGGCGGTCGAATCTTGAAGCAAAATAATATACATGAAAATAATAAAATAACAAATAATCCTCTTTCCTACAAGTATTTTCGTCAAACGGTATACAGTACCGGCCAGAATTATTTCGCCTTTAAGTTTCCTGAGCATAACTTTCGTCAAAGTGCGTCGAAATGCGCTCAAAATTTTTCAGTAGACACCTGACGAGACATTGTACAGATGCATCTTGTACAACGAAGGGTAATGAAATTTGACAAGATACACTTTTCGAATTTTTCATTCGGGCACTTGAAAACTAGTTGTGCTCAAAAAATCGAAAAGTGATATAACTTTGACCGGTGCTGTATATATTTAAAAAGCTGTTAGAGTTTTGAAATCCTAAGAAATACCAAAGGCTTTCAGGATACGAATATACGAGATATGTACGTAATAGGAGTTGGCGGTCCGGCGCGTAGTCAACGTTCGCGAAGACGCGCGGAAAAAATTTATCCGCGTTTACATTCACTGGCAAGACGATTACGTTGCGCGCTACCGGCCGTGTATCGGCCAAGTTACAACTTCCTGCTGCTGTTTCCCCCGGACGTATTAGGATGGACGTTGGCTGCTACACTATGAGAGATCGCTACCGTTCGTTTCTACTTGACCACGGTCCGCGCACGTATACACCCGGTAAAACACCCGGCGTGCTCGAGGCCAGACCGATTCAAGGTATTCATTAATGACGCGCAGCGCCGGCGCGTAGCAGACATATTCTATTGTTCATTCAGAAACGAGCGGCTGCCGAACAAGTATAGCCTCGAGAGAAAGAAGGAGAAAGAGCTGGCACGTAGCCAGCGGCGTTTTACCTCCGCCGCGCGTTGTTTCTGCGCGAAAAAAATGATGCGCCGATTATTTAGCGAAATGGATCGTAAAACCCGAACGGCGGCGGATTCACTTCCGAAACGCCGTCGGCTCCGCCTCCGCTCAAGTTTAGCAGGTAGCGAGCCTCTCGGTCGCATAGTCTCAACGACCGTGACCCAATGTAGCTCCAATCCTATTTTAAATATATCCTAATAAACCTCTTGTCATCCCGGAATAACATAAAACAATTTAAATTGATTACGCTCTTCTAATCCGTAAAGTTAATTTAATTTTAATTCCCTAAGTGTCAGGTTTTGCTGTTGACTCGATCAGAAAAACAAGACGTAGCCGTACGATCTTTCTCTCTGTCGCCGGTTGACACGTGGAGTGCGCAGGGCAGGCGGCCAATTATCGCGGTCGTTATTATCATACGAAAGAAGGCAGGTGCGCTCTCCCGAGTGCGTCGGGCGATGTGCAGCGAGCGAGTCGCGGCGTGCAACGGTGCTCAGTTTGTAGGAGAAGAAGAGAGGAGAGAGGAATAGGGGAAAGAGAGGGAAAGAGAGGAGAGAGAGAAAGAGAGAGACCACGAGAGACCGGCCAGGAAAAAAGCGGTTGACAATCGACGGTGACGTAAGTCACGTGTGGAGCGACGACCACTGCTGGAGTTCCTTTCGCTCGTGCGTGTATATGTTGCGTACGCATCGCGAAGCACCAACGCGCTGTATCAATTGGAAATGAATAGGATACTCTCAAGTCTGGTGGCTGCCCAATGCGTCCCGTACACTTTCAGCTGGCGCAACGGAAACAAATGCAGCGCGCATTGTACAAGAGAGATATTCAGTCTCTGTACATCTCTCTACTCTGTATATCTCTGTACTCTGGGGGGGAAAAAAGACAGCAACCCATTTTGGGGCCCACAATTAGTAATCGAATTATTTGGATTGTTCGTAAATCTTAATCTTTTACGAGTTTTACCCCGCGTAACTAAAAATCGCAATTAGCTATTCTACCTATATCCAAGATTTTAAAGTAAGACTAATCAATCCTCTCAATTAATTCTATCGATATTCACTAACGCAAAGATAATTTTCACTTCAGAAACACTAGCCGAAATGTTGAGTTGCTTAACTACAAAAAAAACGGTCAAAAATTTTTCCAGAGTAGAGTTGCGAACAATCCAAATAGTTCGATTGTGGGCCCCAAAATGGGTTGCTGTCTTTTTTTCCCCAGAGCACAAATTGCAGTTTTCTCAACAAGTTCAGAATCGACTCTCCACCGAGAGACACTTCGCGAACACGAGCGATAAGAAGTTTTGCATTCGCGCACGGACTTCTCTAATATCGGAAATTGACAGCTTTCGGACATTTAATTTTTCTCAGATAACAACAAACCGACGTCTCGCGATTAATTTTAACCGACAGCCTCGATTCGAGGCATCTTGCCGAGAAATTCAGGAGCAAAAATATCTTGCTAAATATTGTACAGTCAAATTTTTCCCGTAGGAAATCTCTTCGAACACACATATGTAGTTCTTCATTCAGAAGATTAACATTGACGGTTCCGGAGCGTTCACGTTGCAGTTAACGAACCGGCGGCCGCGATATAACGAATCGTAGGAACGTACCGTTTCTTCGGATGCGTGTGTTAAAGAAGCGTTTAACAGTAGCTCGGCTGGATATCGTGATCTCCATTTAATTCTTTACCACGCGCGTTATCCCATAACGCTTCATAATAGCGCTGTTGGTTCACCGCGAACGAACGGACAGACGAACGGCGCGCGCGCGCGAGAGAGAGAGAGCAAGAGAGGGGGGGAGGGGGAGGGAAGACTCTTTCTTCCTTGTTCTCAACCCCGCTGGCGCTACGGCGGATGAATGAAGGAAAGGAAGAGTAGTAATCCGATCGGCCTTTACCAAAACGAGCAACGACCGAGCACACGAAGCAGGCGGATGTCGGTGAACGTCGTCATTAGCGACAAAGGAAACTGGTTCGCGTACAATAATGCCACTTCATGTGCGCGCTCGACACACGAGGGATTGATCGATCGGGACTCGCCGAGCGCTCTCATCGACACGTGTAATCGTTCGTGCGCGACACCACCTTGCCCCGCCGAGATTTATAAATAACGTCGCATTGGCGGGCATAAAATTAGACCGGAATAAAAAAAAAAGAAGACTTTAAGACCATCCGATATTTATTTAAAGTCTCTTATTTTTAGTTGGAACATTTCGCGCGCGTATGAATGGCACGGAATTTTGATTTACACGCGCAAGGAATATACCGTCCGGAAGGGTAATCCGCCAAGATAACGAGCGATTCGATATCGAGCCTGCGATATAAGAAATCAGCTTCGAAACGGCCTCTTACGCACTCCCGCGACTACGGCCGTCCTTGAGGAACGTCGCGGCGTCGCGGCGATAATTAGCGGCGGCGAATGGGATTCCCACGAAATTTTCGTGACACGCGACGCGGAGCGAACGCAACTCCGAGCGCAGGTGCAGCGGCGCGACGCGTGCACCGGCACGTATACGCAACGTAACGCAGTGTAACGCAACGCGACGTAACGCAACGTGGATAATGGGTGTGCGTGTGTGCGTGATGGGCGGCTAAAAGGAGGAAGAGGGACGCCCGAAAGGGAAGGAGGCGAGAACGCGGCAGGAGCGGGGGCGGCGGTTAGGAGAGGAGGAGGAGAAGGAGGAGGTGGTGGTGGTGGTGTTCGCCTGAGAAAGGAAGCAGCATCCGAGCAACGCGGCAATAAAGGGCTCGTTTCGCCGGTGCGTTGTGGGTATTATATTGTGCCCGGAGCAGCAGCACGGTAGACGGAGCACAATGTAAGCGGTGTATCCGCGATAAAGACCCCGGGGATAGGTGTATATCCGGGACATGTTTGGCGATCCGTCGTGGATGTTGGATGCGTCAATATACTACCTTTTACTAGGCACATTAGCCTCGGACGATTATAAATTTAAATTATTTCTATTTTCCTTGGTTTCATTTAATTATTAAGAATGTTAAGATTTCAAAAATACGATTTGCCAGCCCTTCTTCGCGTTGTAATCGTGTTCGGCGCGAGCCGGCAAATACAAGCGCGAAAAACCGAGATAAATTTCTATACGTCGATGACTTTATACAACATCCGCGTGCTAAGAAAAGAATCGCAGACACTGAGAAGCAGACGCGTATAAACGGGACTTTGACGATAAAATCCAGAGACTGTAAAAGACACTCGCCGGCCATAACGCGAACTCGTGTCGGATAGAAAGAAAGCTCGCTGTTCTTTCGTCCAACGCAGAATACCGTATGTAGTTACCGTAAAAAAAATGAAGTTACTTCGATAACGAAATACAAGAGGAAACACGATTAGTTTGGATTCTTTTCTCATAGTACATATGCATCGTTGAATCTTAATTTTAGTGGACTATCGTACACGCGTGACTAATGAGGAAACGTTGTACCCAGATACACAGAACGGAGAAACTAGCCCTGGTCTCCGTGTCAATGAAAGTTTTATTAGCGGCGTAAACAGTGTCTGAGAACACACGCGCGGTAATCTCGAGCATGTTCATTAGAGTTCCTTGGAACGAGATTCTCCGAGTAACTTCCGAGTTTTCTCGACCCAACAAATGGGGAATCCAGTTTTGTACTCTTACGAATCTTGTATTCGCAAACTCGTTCGCGCTCCGAACAGTCGCTGTTTCCTCGTCCGGAGAAAGCACGTGCGAAAAAGTGAGCGAGAGAAGAGGGGGGGGGGGAGGCGGGCAGATAAATAAGCGCAAGATCGAATAAAGTACGCGCCGCGTGGCGCCGAAACAGTTAAATTCGGTTAATTGGCCGAAGCTGCGCCGGCGACGACGACGACGACGACGACGACGGCAGTAGCATAGGTGATACGAGGAGCGACGGCGCGACCATGCACGCGTGTGCGTGCGACACGCATGAGGGCGCGCGGCCGCCGTGCGTATGCAGCTTCCGCTCTCTCCCGCCGGCCGATTCTAATTATCGGAGGGGCCCCACGGGACTTCTCGAGGAAGAAATTAAGCGGTCTCGCTCTTCTTACCCCGTTTTTAAAGCCGGTCTCGAGAGTGAATAGAATGAAGCGGATGCGTGTGCTACCTGCGCGCGAGTGCGTATAGAAAACCGTACGCACTTGGAGTTTCATTCGACGCACGGTTGTTACACGCTGTGTATCCGTCTCAGGACTTTACATGGGATTACTAGAAAAATTGGAATAAACGGAAATTAACTCGGAACAAACGCATTCTGGAACTTGGTTTCTTTTCATCAAATCTTTTCGAGCGATTTATCTACAGATTACTTGTGTTGCCGTTAAAAGAGCGTACAAATAATAAATTTAAGAACAATTGACGGTAGGATAAGCTAGGCTCGTCGGATGCGCCCGTACATACTCGGTGTCAAGTTACTTCCAGCGTGATGGAAGAAGAGTGTACTACGGTTACACAGGAAGGAAACACTAGTGCCGTCGCCGCCGCCGCCGCCGCCGCCGCCGCCACCCGGTATCCGCCGTCTCTCCTCTCCTTGCTCTCACTTTTCTCTCTCCCGCAACTTCTGGTCGACGACACAACGCTATGACACAACGGAGCCGCGTTGCCGTAATAACGCGCAGTTACAAACGAGGAACGACCAGAGGCTGAATAGAACAATGAAAACGCGACGATTGTTCGCGGAACAACGGCCGATCTCGGCGACGTAAGATTTTGCCAAGCCACGCGTATTTGTCTATTGCGTCAAATTGGATTCAACGTTTATGATAAAAAGGGCGGACTCAAAGAAATGGATTATGACATCGCGTTTCCTACACAATCTTTGTAAAAGCTTTGTTGTTTGTCAAACAACAACGGCAAAAAATTTGGAAAAATAGGTAAAAACTTGTGACGAAATATTTCGAAATAAACACATCACAATTAATAAGTTATTTATAATAAATTGAGCGGAGAAAACTCGATAACAATGTCGCAAGAAAATCAATCTCCTTCTGTCGCTCTCTTCTTTCGGTCCTTGTCTCGTGGAAACTTTAAAGAGATGAGGAGCAAGAGGTAGTTGAAGGGAGGAGGAAGAAAAGGAAGGACTCAACGTCTCTGGTAAGTGTCATGCTCAGGGACCGGAAGTGCCTTCTCGACTGGTCCTTCTCGATGTTGCACGAGACACCGCGTCTCTCTTATGGGCCAGCTGGACCACACATGCCCACCCGACAACCAACCTTCTTGCCTTCTCTCCTGCGGCTTTAAAGACGCCCGCAACGCCACGTCTACATGACTAATTTTACGATAATCCTTCGTCATTCGAGCTTTTTACAAGTGCGTGCACTCATGTTCGATATCATCGTACGTAATCTAGAACGAAAGAAATTACACTCACCGGCCGATTGATGTGTGCTGTTGTCAGCGTCGTGATAAGCCTCCACTATCAGCGAGAATGTACCCTGTAAACAGATAGAAAAAGCTACATGAGTCTCGTGCGCGTTTTTCGTCCAGGGTAATCAACAGTTATAATAATTGGAAAGCAATGGGGGGGGGGGGAATTGGAGGAAAAATTTCAGACGAAATTAACAATTCAGTCCTGTAATTAGTTTTAATGCCGACAATTAAAAGGATGCGTCATTCATTTTTACTTTTTTTGGGCGTGACTCGCGCGCACTTTCGAAATGTAACGGTAATGCTAGAGGAAATATTTCCGTGGTGAAAGGGTTAATAACAAATTAAACGTTTCGCGGCGTGCTGCGTCACGCGCACACCTGCCACGCGTTGCCACGCGTCCGCCCGCCGGCAGAACGACGAGCGTGCACATCAAGAACGAACGTGGAGAAACGGTTACGCGTCACTGGGCGAGGGGTAGAGGGAGGGCACAGGAAGGGGGACGACACGCGCGAAAGTCACCCCCTTCCGAGTTATCGTCCAGGCACGAGGGGAATCGCAACCCCACACGGGTCAACTGTCATAACCACACGATGTACCCTCGGTGTAAATCACACGTCGCATTAAGGTACACGTGCGCGCGTGCTAAGTGCCCCGACATGTGGAAACTACGGCCGATTGCGCTAAATCAATTGTCTACGAGATGTCACTAGGCAATTTGCATTTACACCGATCCTCCCGATCTCACGAAATCGTGAAAATCATTTTTCCAACTTCCGTATACTGTTGATAGATTTGTTTCAGTAAATCTCTTCGTCGTGCAAAGGAACTTGTAACAAAATTAAATGTTAACATGGTGTTCCCACGCAATTGGGGAATGGGGGGGGGGGGGAAGGGGACAGGGATACTTAAAAAAAATCGCGTACTCTGTGGAAAAAAGACAGCAACCCATTTTGGGGCTCGCAATTCGTAATCGAATTATTTCGATTGTTTGTAACACTCTAATCTTTCCGTTACAATTCGAGAGTTAGCAAATGCAGAAGAAATCTGTCCCAGAGCGGCCGAGAAGTCCCCAGACGGGAGACAGGAAACGCGGGAAACTTGGCTGCCCGCTGAACACACACGCGGCTCTGTTCCGTAATTTAGAGGCTGAGGAATGCCCAGGTAGAGAGATGCTCGAAACGACAGCTCGTAAATACCGTAATGACGTTCCCCCGTCGCCGAGTAACCACACGGAGCACCACAGTGCTCGTACTCGGACGTGTCGCGAGGATACACGGTGTAATACACGTACGTGCTGTAACGCGGCCTTTACATCTGTGTGATGATAATGCGTCGTTTAATTATTTAACGTCACACGAGCATGTACGGTAAACACAGAAAGAGAGCACCGCGCGGCTCGCGGTATTATACGCGACCTCGTTAGTCGTTGCCACGCGGAGAATAATAAATGTTTATATCCGCCGGCGTCGCTATTCCCCGCCCGTGTTTCGCCCGAGTTCCCGTAAACGAGTCTCCCCCGGTAATCCCATGGCGAATGTCATCTCGCGCATGGAAATTTATGCGGACGCCGTTACGCACCGCGCTCTCATCTCGCGAGCTTCCCCTCGCGTCTGAAACGCAATCCTGGCGTGCAAAAAGCCGAAGCCGGGGGGAAAAAGTAGTACGGCAATAAGATTGTACAAGTGTATCGATGTTAAAGTCAATTAAAATCGATATCTTTATGTTCGGTAAATGGAAGAAACGTTCCTTCGTGTTTAACCGGTCGACCTTTTCGTTAAAGTAATTGTATCAATTTCCCGCAAGAGAGCACGTTATTATCTAACGTTATTGACCATTGTTACTTGCACATTTCGCACATTTCCATTTCTGGAAATGAGCCTTACGGTGTACATGTACGCACAGGTACGCATTCGCCCTTCGCCGCGAAAGGGTTGAAGGACGAGGGAGCAATTTGTCTCTGCTAAAAGAAACGAGTGGAAGAAGAAGAGGAGGAAGAGAGAAAGAGAGTGGCGCAGGTTGTGGTGCACCTCACACGCACACACCTTTTGCGACGAGATACCGAACGTGCGAGATACGGTTCGAGACCGGTCCAAGGGCCTCGAACACGCGAGAAGGGCGAAAAAGCGAGCAACGCGAGGGCAGGACATAGTAGGCGTAGACGGAAGCGAGACGAGAAACACAGGGCTATGCCGCCTTTTTCTCTCGCGGCAAGGACGCGTCTCGGAGAGGTCTTAGACACGCGGGACGTGCACTTTTACGAAAAGGAGAGAAAAAGATGGCCCCTGTGGCGAGAGCAACAAATCAGGAGCGGAGGAGAGAGCGAGAGAGGGAGAGGATAAATCGCCGGGAAGACAAATGCCACCGTGATCGTCCGCTAATTTATTACGGGGGATTGGAATGAAATCGGCGAAGAATCGCGGCCAGGCGTTCGAAAAAAGGCGCGGTTCTCCGCGGGAACAATGCGCCTCGGCGAGCACGGCGAGTGTGCGTACGCACGTATGCGTGTGCACCGGTAGCGGCGATCGCCGACGTGCAGCGCGCGCGCGCGGTCGCGGAAGGCGGAGGAGAAATCCACGGGACGATAAAGACGATCGGGCGAGGATAGGGAGGGAAACACGCCGATCCTTTTCCTCGCGGACGCGAGGGATGACGGGGAGAGAGACGGAGAGAGAAACGGAGCGAGAGAGGTCCTCACGGTGTCGACGGCGCGCGATAGAGCGAGAGGGTCGCGCGGCGCGGCGGCCGAATACGACAGAGGGAGAGGCGACAGGCGCGGCGCGGCCGCCACGATAGAACGAGAGCCGGCAGGCGCGACGGCCGCTGCGGTAGAACGAGAAAGAGAGGAGAGCGAGCTGCTCGCTCGCTCGGCAGTCGGTTCCCACGGCTGCGCAGCATACCTCCACCTTCTCTCGCCTCTCTTTTCCCTTCTTCGCCGCCGTCAGCCCGAACCTCCGCGCCGCACTCCGCGCCGCTTTGTCGTTCCTCTTCTCGGACCCGCGTGTGCTCCTCTTTCGATCTCCCCCCCTCTCTCTCTCTCTTTCTCTCGTCGCCTCTCGCTTCGACTCGCGCGCAGACCGTCCTCTCTATCCAGTGATTCGCTTCTTCTTCTTCTTCTCTTCCTCTTCGCCCGTTTCCTTTCTCTCTTTCTCCGTCGACTCGCGTTTCTTCACGTACAACAGGACGTAGCTGCAATCTCGGAGCGCGGGCGCGTATATATACGCGCGTATTAATCATCGCGGAAGACGGTCGCGAGGAGGAAAGAGGAGAGAGAGAGAGCGAACGGTCTACATGTAAATGCATCGTCGTCGTCGGCGGCGGCGGCGGAGTGTCGTCGCTCGTTATCCGCAAGTTTCCTCTTCCTCCTTTCGATGCAAAGGCGGCCGCGAAAATTTCACCGTATAGCCATCGCGGAGACGCGTTACCTAATCTCGAGAATGCCCGAGCGGCACATCCAGGAATAACAGGACGCGGTAAAAATAGACGAGTCACGGAAGGACACCGTCGACAGGCAGTCGCGACGTAGTCAATTTGTAATATGAAATCGAACGTGCGAACGAGAGAGCGAGAGATATCGCAACTGCGGAGAATCGAAATCTTTCGAAACACTCGCCCAGTTGTAGCTTCAGGTGATAATGGCGTGTTACTTGCAGGCTGTATTTCGAAATTAGAGAAATTGGTGGCTATACGAATATTCTGAAAAGTAACATTGGATAATTACTCGTAAGTGGAACCAACATGAATGGCTCCCGCTCCGTTCCTTCCTCGTTCACCGTAATGCGAACAAAAGTCACGCTTTCACGGGCCATTCTTAACGCGAAGCGATGCGGCCTGTTTTATTAATGCACGCTTCGATTGGGCTAGCCATTACTGTTTCCAACTTTCGACTCTTATTGTAATCAATTACAAACCGCTGAATGGAAAAGCTTCATTGTATCGATATGAAAAGAGCGTCAAGATCCTTTTTCTGAGAGAGAGAGAGAAAAACATCATGTCTCGATTTGCAAGAGCGACGGTAGTGACGCTTAATCACGTAATATAAAAATGCATTTCATAATTAACCGAGAGAAACGAGACTCGTAACGCACGACCGAGTCGATAACGACGTATATCGTTCGTGTCGAGCGACAGTACATCGCCCAAGGGACGAGCAGTTAGTCAGTCAATCAGTCAATAAGGTTCACCCACGCGCGTGCATCAGCTGATGCGTACCTGCCCGCAGACCACGTGACGAGGGGAGTAAGGGTGAGGGCAGACACACGCACGCACACGCTCTCACAAGCCGTATTTTCGCTTTGTCGACACTACGGGGGAAAAGATGAAGGAAGGGCCGGCCTGTGTAAACAGTCACGTCCCGTAAGAGCGGTTTCGATCCAATTCCACCGTAAATAAAAATCTCGCGCTGCGACAGAGCGACCTGCCCATCTCGCGAAACAATTTATTAATTCCTGAAACGATTACATTTCTACTGACCGAAGACCAATTTTTGCCGGTTTTTACCACCGGCATGGACTTTATAAAAAAAAAAGTGGAGTTTTGCCAACCCTGAACATGGCGCTCCGACAGTTAAAAAAATGATACTGCAAGCACACCGTCGCGAAAGGTGACAAAATGTACTCTTGAGTCGTGAACTTTTCGCTTATTATCACGCGATGCCTCCACCATCCTTCAAGGTACGCTTTCTCACAGCGAGAAAGAGACGAGTGCGCGACAAAAGAGCAACAGGAAACACTCGGATCCGGGAGAGGAAACGTATTGAGGAGAACTTCCGCATAAACGGCACCCCCGAGCGACGTCGTAATAAGAATCTGTGAGATGGGAAGACCGGAAGTGGCATCGGGGAAGCGACCGGCCGTTACTCGATGCTTTTGCATTCTCGCGGAGTAAATTGAAGCTTGAGCTCGATTGCAGCGAAAGGGAACTCGCCGAGTTATACCGTTACAAACGCACAGCGTATTGCCGGGCTCGCAACTCATGGGGAAACCATTCTATTGTTATCAATTCTTTCTTAACAGTCTTCATTAGTTGAAGAGTATATTTATTTCCAAGTGCTAAACGGACACTTCAT